ACAAACAAACCCAATATACAACACATGCCGTTATGAAATCCATTGCTTTTAAGTGAACATGAGACCACAATAACAACTCGTCATGTATCGTATTTCTTAGGTGCACCAACGAATAGGTACAGTGGAGTCCGCGAAAACGGAAAACGGTTAATCCGAAAACAGCGGTAAAGCGAAAGAAAATTGTAAAAATCCCCGGGTTTTTTCCGCTCTTTCCATTTGAGCAACTTCTCTAACACGAAAAAAAAAAATTCGATTAAACTGAAGAAAATCCGGGTTGCCACGAATTTCGGTTTAAGCGGACCCCACTGTAGTTTAAGGCACATCACAGCAAGTCATCAGTCCACATGCTATTCGAATTCTACGTTGACATTCGATTCAAAACAAACCCAACGTTCATGAACTAATCATAGGTATGTATAAGCTGATTGGCTATTCTCTATACAGCACTTGAGGGGGGGGGGGGGGGGGGGAGAAGAGAGAAGCACACGCGAGGGCCTAGTCTAATGTCATAATTTTTAGGCAGCGCATGCTAGTAGCTCTCTACACCTGACATTTATTGCTTATGAGGAAATGTGACATCATAAAATGCGTGCGTTCAAGATTTGAAAATTGCGCTGTAAAACTTTAAAGATCATGGCATGGATTTGAAGCATCAATAGCATCTTTTGTATCTTTGTAGTTTTACTGGATTGACACAGGAAAAAAGATAGAGGAAAAATCCCAAAACAAATAAAAAAAATTCAAAAATACTACATGTATGATAATGTAGACTACCGCCACCTACTCCTGACAGCAAGCGTTCGTTTGGTTTTTTTTTTCTTCTTGTGTCATCAAATTGTTGAACATAATACTAAACGGGAGCTAGAACGAGAACTTGTATACAAAATTATACTTTTCTTAGAGTGGCACTTTGTTAATAATTTTATAATGATTGGACACATTCTGAGAGCAATGCAACAAAAGCCAAAATAAAATCTCAATTGACACCAAATGATCAATATTCTGAAACACGTTCATGCTGTCAATCCCTTTGAACGGTGACGTAGGGGTACATCAGTACTCCATAGGTCGGAGCATCCACCAAAAAAAAAAAAGAAAAAAGAAGGGAAAAAAAAAGAAAAGAAAAGAAAGAAAGGAAGAAAGAAAGTAGGGCCTATTACACCTTTTTATGGCTAATAGTAACAATACTAGCAAAGGGGGGAAAAAGGAAACAAGGGCGCTTTGTTAAGAGTACATATTGTATACATTGTGTACTTAACAATCAAATTTAAGAGAACGTAATCCAAAACGGGACCCAAAAAAAAAAAAAAAAGATATAAAATAAACAGAAAAAAGGGTCTGATAGAGTGAAACCTATAGGGTGATCTCTAAATGACTTGAGCATTTTGTGATTCATGGTGTTTCCATTCAATTATTACAACTTGTTGTAAGATTTGCACTGATGCTGCGAATAATAGTAATGTTTTATTTGATCCCACAGAACTCTCGTCATAAAATTTTGGTATGGACCAGGTAACAGGACAATAAAAGTTTTTGTGAACATGAAAGTCAAGAGCATGCCATAATACGAGTCACTAAAACACATTGTACAAAGAGGACACAGAAATGATCACGAGGGAGAGAAGTTTTACATTCGCACCGTTTATGCTGGTGGTGGGTCTCACTGGCGCTGTTTATATATATACGCACGTACGTACACATGTACACTTATCACAGAAATGCAACACTGATATTTGGCACGTTGACACCATCACAATAACTCTCTCTCTCTCCCTCTCTCCCTGTCTCTCTCTCTCTCTTCTCTCTTTTCATCTCGAGTGTTCTCTCTCCTCTCTCTCTCTCTCTTTCACTCTCTCCCTCTCTCTCTCACACACACACACACACACACACACACACACATTGTACAACAAAAGAATGGACGTTTAATTCTATCGGCGTAAGACGTAATTCGCCCTGATTTCGGACCTTCTAGGACTAGACAAATTTTTAAAACAAATCAGAATGCCCCTAGACATGATTGTGTTAATCATAATATACTGAAACTGATGACTACCTCATAAATGCTACACCATAAAGGAACCTGTTCTGATACCAATTTAATCAATACAATTCAAATTCTGAAACTAAAAATTACGTGCTATACTCACGGCACTCAATTACTTCCGCTGTTATCTTTAGTGATGTCTTTAATACTTAATTTTTAAAAAAACAACAACAGACAAAATAATAGTATTATGTATCTACTTAAATCCATAAAACAGGCACAGAAAAACAATAGCAATAAAAGTCTACAACTAAAGACCCGCAGTTTCTTACCTAAAATCAAAGGGAACTCCATCAGCATCTCAAGAATTCACGAGCTCGGTCAACTAGAGCTAGATCTAATATCGTTAAACCAAGGAACTATCACTTCTCGCATCCATTCAATACATGCAGTAATACATTGTGCAAACACCTCATAATAAATGCAGTAATAATAACTTCACAACAAATCACGCATACAAAATACTGAAGGCTTGATTAATAATATTTTATGGTATATTGAATCTACACCATGTTTATAATATATAGAGATAGAATATCATTTATCATAATTAATGTATGTTACACTATGTCGTCACAACAAACGTCATAACCAGGATATAGATGAATAAATCCGATAAATGCCAGCCACTTCAGAAAACGTTGTAATAAAGGTAAAATAAAGGTATGAGCCTTCAACACAAGATACACTACAGGCCACTCTCTGAAAACGCAGGTTATGATTGGTTTATAATGTCAGTTGATGGGAAAAGGGAGGCATCCCGTTGTCGCTGACAGCTGATTTAAGGTAGATGGAGAAAGAGAGAGGGAGAAAGAGAGA